AAGCACAGAAATCCAGATTGCAAAATCACACTGAAGTCCAAGTAGTCAAAGCAAGAGCAGATAGCGCAATGGAACCGAGTAACCATCCATTTGAGAATGATACAGAAGAATCGTGAGTAAATGCCCAAGCCCAATCGGGCAACACCAACAGCATAACCCAATGTAGCTCTCTCTTGAATGGCGCCAGGCGCCCTACCTACTCTACAGCCTATCTCTACGACTACAGCTATGAAGCAACCAGACAACTTGACAACCAGCGAGTGATGATGTCAACTCCAATGCCGACCTCCTCTCCACCCAGGTACGTCTCTTCCTTCACCCACACTCTCCCTTGTTATCCCACACAGCGCCCTTCACCTTCAAAGAACCACCTTCGCCCTCACCTCCCCTGCGCCCTTAAGCAGCCCGGCTATGGCCGCCAGCGCCCTGTGCACAGGCAGCGCCCGACCGCCTAGCGCCTGCCTGTCTGACACCTCATCCTAGCGCAGCGCAGCAGCTCGCATTTGCGCACCGTGCCGACATTGCCCACAATGGCCAAGATCCCGGCCTACTCGCCCTGCTTGCCTATATGCCAGTGTTGCGTGTGGGCGGCCTCCCTTTAGCCTGCGACTGGGCCCCAGTGCCTGAACCCAGGCCCGATGCAGTTGGGGCCCGGGTGATGCAGTTGCGCCTCTTTCATCAAGGCCTGCGGCCAGATTCAGATAGTGGGCCGATTTCCCTTTGGCATTTTCGGCCTCTATACCCAGCATGCATTGTCGGCCTCACGTTCAAGTGCCCAGGGCCTAACTAACTCAGAGGCCCTGGGATCTCCACGTTTGCAGAGATTTGAGACTCGGTGCACTCCAACCAACTGGCGTGCTGCAACTGTATGAACCCCACTTCGTGAAATGTTTGTACATAGGGCTCTTGTTGATTTGCTGGCCCGCCTTCACTTAGGGCGGGCACTAGGCTTGCTGGGGCCTTAGCCCAGAACATGTACATCATGGCAAGGCCCCTTCTTGAGGGCTCAATCCTCACATTCCATCCCCCTTAGCTTCGAAAGTCCGCTGAGATGCTTACTTTGCAGGTGCCTTCCCTTTTAACTTTCTTTCATATTCTGCCACCACTTGAGGAGCTGTGTCAATCAGTTCCTTTCTGGTAAACCACCGATCTTCTTTTGGATCCGTATGGTGCCTGAATCTGACGCGATATTCTCTCTTGGGTTTAGGAGGTCTTCCCCTACCCAATGGCTTCTGAACAGGCAGATCTCTGTGATCCACAATGTCGTCGATGTCCACTTGACCATCCATGGTTGGGGGCAGCATCGATCTCCTTGAAGGGAATTGATCAGTCTCAGCGAAAGGTGCAAGCTTTGAGGCATGAAAGACAGGGTGAGTGCGTAGGTGTTCAGGGATACGGATAACATAGGTAGGACCATCTATCTCATCGCCCACTACATCCAGGACTTCCCAAGGACCAAAGTATTGAGGCATTAGTTTTCTAGAGATACCGAATTCCTGTCCTTGCTCACTAGCCTTGACCCAGACACGTTCCCCTACCTGAAATGAGGACTGTCGTCGATGCTGGTTTTCAGAAGCAATCATTGCTTGATGAGCTTTCTTGATGTGCTCGACAACTTGCTGCAGCAACTTCTCATAGTGCACACCATACTCAAGTGTGCCAGGAGTTGCGGAGGATCGGTTTTCAGGTAGGAGGAAGTCTAGAGCGGATCTAGGCTTCCATCCCAAGTGCAGCTGGTTAGGACTAACGTCGGTACTGTTGTGTACAGCGTTGTTGTATAGGCTGGCGATGAGAGGTAACTTCTCATCCCAGTCATCCTGGCTGGGCTTGATGT